TGATCTAAGCGCCCAAACGACCTGGGCACAAGTAACGCATCACACTGTTATGGAAATTTTAACAATAACCTGCAAAAGCCTCGATGAGCATGATTTGAAGTGAGTGTAATTGCAATATGGAGAGACTGGTCAAACACCCAAGCAGTCTCTGACCAGGTCTTCACATCTTATATACAGGCACAGACACTCAAACAAAGAACATTCCACACATTTTAGCTCTGGGGGGAAAAACAACCTCATTCTCTAGGTACTTCCAGCACAATTGTGGCCTAGCAAAATCACTCAATGAAATGTGATGAACCAAAACTCCTATTCAGGGTTTCAAACAAGGTTTCAGAGTCCAGTACACATGTCAAAGAAACTCACAGCTGTTGTTACTATGTTTACTCAGACAATGAGGATCTAATGCACTTACATCAGGAACTGACATGCTAGAAAAGCAGTCTAGCTACCTACAAAATGTATACAAGTAACTGTAGCTGTAAACCTTGCATACTATAATTACTACAGTCACTTTTAATCAGGCCCAGGACTCTAAAAAGAGTTTGTGATGTTTGGAGAGTCTTGCGCGTGTATCATTTGTAAAATAATTAGAAACGTCACACCAACGACCACCTTAACTTAAAACAGTGAACATTTTCAGGAAAAACTGCCTGACTTTAATCAGGTGTTATCTGCTTCCCCTCACTGATCTCTCTTTTTGACACATGGTCTCTTCCTTGCATCAACTCACCAAAACTAGGAGAATAAAAAAATGTCAAGGTTAGTGACATTGTCTCCCAGATAATAGATAGTTCTCCTCTGCAGTAGCTTCGCTCCAGGTCTGTAAACCTGTGTGGAAATGAAATCAGTGTGGTTTTCATGTTGAATCTGTTTAACTCCAGCCTCCACTTGGAGCCTGCATCCACACCACAGCTGCATGGAAACAAAATCTGTGAGTTAATATAAACTTCACATTTGCAAACAACTGAAGGTCACAAGATTAATAAGGCATCCAGCACTAAAGACACAAGTGTGTGATGTGCAGTTTATTTCCCCAGATCATTAGAACTCTACTGTTGCCATAATTTCCCAAATCATAGATCATCCCATGTGTTTTTTAAAAACTACTGTAAACAGTGATTGTTCTTTAAGTAAGTCACTCACTTGTTTTCACTCTATGAGCTCAACACTAAGGTTTCCTGCGATCACTGCACATCCTACTTTATTTTCACTCATGTCTGTGTGATGCTAAATCCTCCACAGAGACCATTAGATGAAAACAAACATTAGCCAGTCTAGTATCCTCGCAGGTCGGGCCTGGATCAAACAGATTCCAGAGGTGCTGCTATAAATCATGTCGTCAGCAACCTGCTGCTGTGAAAGGAGTGACTCTCGTTTCAGCACAGTACATTTTCACATTGTATACACATTTTCCTCCGTGTAACATCTAACATTTCTCAAAAATACAGTGTGATACCATAACCAACACGCAGCCAATAAAAACAGTGTCCTTCAAACACAGAAAAGTGGCAGCTAAAAGGCCAAGTCTGCAGATCCACACACTCATGTGAACGTAGAATCTCTCTCCTCTTGGGTCTGTGTCATTCTCCTGCTCCTGCAAATAAAAGACATCCATCCACCCTTTTTGCACTATTTTGGGTGAATTAGGCACTAGAAATGAAGTCTCTAATCCTAAAATAAGTGAAGTTTTAATCTCAATTTGAAGTCAGTCAAACCTTCAGTCCATCACAGTCCAGTCACATGCATTTATACCAATTATTGCTGACAGTGGAAACCCGCGCACTCATTTGAGTATCCACTGACAGCAATCTGATCTAAAAAAGAAATTAAATAAAAACAATTCTTTATGATTTTGTTATGGATCGAATCACTACAATCCTTTTAGACCCTTCAGATGTGGTCAGTGTCCCAGATAGGTGTACCTCTGCTAAGCCCATTGTAATCTGAAGAAGCTCACCTTGTACCTGCTTTCAATGAAATATTTCATAGCACTTTTAATTCCAATCTTGGAGGCCTGCTTAAAAGAGAGATGATTATTAAATCATCAACACAGAAAATATCATCACGGGAGGGATGACCCCTGACAGCTTTTCTCTAAGTGCACTGTTACAAAAATATTAGGCCCAGTTCCAGACATGTCCCAAGTATGAAAAACACTGTCCCTCTCTCAAAAGGAGAAAACAACCCAAACCTAACTGGCAGAATCAACCTAATTGCCGAGTCGCAAATTTTAGAGACCAAGCACCGCTCAGGTTAGAAGGAGTTGATTTCTGTGTCCACATTCCAATTAAAAATCAAAAACAAAATGATCACAGGCAAAGAGCAGAGTTCTGTGCCAGTTTATTGAAAGATCAAATTCAGCAAAAGATCAGAAGAAGCAAAAAGCTCCCCCGGAGTGTTCGCCGTAAGCACATCCAGATCAAAAACAAACAGACAAACAGCCGCCAAAAAGCTACCCAGGGCGCATCTGACCCATCTTTTTTATCGGGTCAGTGACCCCTCCTCCTCCTCCTGCTTGATAGTTTTCCATTCCCTGTCCGTCTTAAATTCAAACTATCAAGTTTTCCCTTAACTTTACAAATCTCAATATCACTCCCTTTATCAATGTAAAACGTTTGTCAGTACTTTGCCCTAATCAGTTATCCTACTTGCACTTTGTACCTTTTTTAATCTCCGTTGCTCAGGTTACATAACATTCTGGCACTACTCCAGGACTTTCCGGGCGCTGTTCTCACACGCTGTCGTCCATCATTTTTAATGGTGTCTCTTTGACAGTTTTTGGCCAAAGTGAGTCCAAAAGCCCGCAAAATCGCAGATATCAAGCCAACTGCAGGGTAATAACAATCAATCATCCTGACAACTTTCCCGGGTTTGGAGCCAGGAGTACTATATCCACTAAGGAAGGGTTCCAGAAGCGTCCTCAGGTGTGCCCAGTCCACCTGCTATATAGGCCAGTGCACTACGTTTGGCAGTGTAGGCTGGCAGCAATGTTCCCTCTAATGTTTCATGTGTCTGAGCGAACGCACAAACTCCCTGAGCATCCCTTGGACCACTGTGAGCAACAGCAGACGTGTGCACTGTGGTCACGCCAGCATCAAATCCATCCAAGTTACATGGTTCATAAAAATAATCAAACTACAGCATTTACATTTATGTTAGACTACTTTTAATTAACTGCTTTAGCCCACTTACAATGAAAAAAAAAAAAATCTTGTTCATGACCTGTGTAGCATGTTAAGACTATTGGAAGGAAAAATAACCTGAACTCCAATTTTGAAAACACAACTTTCTTGTTTTTAAAAATAAAGCTCTGACTTGTATTATGAGTCTGTGGTCTGGGAGAGAGTCTGCAACTTTGCAAAACAGAATTGTTAAGGTATTTATTTTAATTATATTTAAATTCAAGTGAGATTTTTTTTGTGCGCAACACACATTTACCATGTGCAGAGACCGTGCCAGCAGTGCGCAATTGCGCATGTGCGCAGCTTAGAGGCAACATTGGCTGTCAGAGAGGCTCCCAGGTGCAGCTTGAGCCAGGTTGAGTTCATGTTCTCTCAAACTGTAAAAGAACCCACCCACCACTTTAATCACACTCTAGATCTTGTTTTAACATATGGCATAGAAACTGAACATTTAACAGTGTTTCCTGAAAACCCTCTGCTGTCTGATCATTTCCTGATAACATTTACATTTACAATAATTGATTACACAGCAGTGGAGAG